AATAAGTAGTGTAGCGTAGAAAGCTTGTAAATTGAAAATAGCCTAATATTGTACGCGCGTAAGCTTTATTTTGGTTGTGCTTAAGTTTTTAATATGATTTGTGGCATAGTAAATATTTTTGATGGACATTCGGTCCATGGGGGACGGTATGTTTAAGCCAATAAACCCCAAATGCATGTTACTTACTTATTTTAAAGATAATAGATAATGTGAAAGTGTTGTTGTCAACGGTCACTAGATGGCGCCATCATTTTGCACAGTGTGATGTCTGAATGGCGATGTTGAGATTTTTACTCGATTATATAAGCCTTAGAAAATAAGGTTTCTTTTCGAGGACCGCAATCTACGCCATTGCGCACGGAACCGAAGTACCCACAAGCTCTCCGACGAAATAAAAATTATTTTTTTCCGTCCGCGAGACTGCCTGGCGCCATCCTGTGAGAAATGAGAAACGCCGCCCACGCGCGAGATTCCCTCGCGACCGAACTCGCCGGTCTCGTAGCTGCGATACCACCTCCACTCCGCAATATTCACCACTGCTGTTGGAAAAAGCGAAGACCACCACCGCACCGGCATCAGCCCGTACAGGAAACCGCCCCCGCAGCTCAGAAACAACAACAACCGACTGTTTTACCGACACAGTCGGTAACTTATGCTCAGACGGCAGGAAGTTCCGCGACTACCCACCTCACCGCCGAAAAATCTGCCTCTACCGCCGCACCACCCACCACCGCACAGATTGCGTAACCAACCTCCAGCGGCGCTCCCACAACACAGCAGCGGGAACGCAAATGCCCCCCGTCATCGTGGTAGAGAAGCTGCCGGACTGGCCCACGCACATGCGCGCTCTACAAGACGCACTCGGTCGCCCGCCGAGCGTACGCCCGTTTGGCACGGGCGTGCGTTTCTTGCCTGCAGACGACCAAGAGAGCCACACTGTGACCGCCTACCTATCCAACCTCAAGGGAGCGAGTTGGTACTCGCACGCTCGCCCTGAAGACCGCAGCCTCAAGATTGCAATCAGAGGGCTGCCTTTGAACACCACGCCGCACGACGTCACCGTGGCCCTGAGAGAAAAGGGCTACGAAGTCGAGTATGCCAAGCAGATCCCGGCGCGAGCAGGCCGTACCGGAAGCCTGTTCTTCGCTGCACTGAAGCAGACTCCCAACATCACATCGACCATATACACAGTGGATGAGCTCCTGTGTATACCCGACATTCGAATTGAAGCCTGGAGAGGGAAGAAAACCCCCGCGCAGTGTCACCGCTGCCAGGGGTTTCGCCACTCCAGCCTGGGTTGTCACCGCCCGCCCGCCTGCGTGAGATGCGGTGACCCGCACGCCGCCGCCGACTGCCCACGCTCGCTCACATCACCAGCAACGTGCGTGAACTGCGGGGGCGCTCACCCCGCAAATCACAGCGCGTGCCCTGTGCTACTACGTGAGGCGCGCAACCGACGCGCCACGACTGTGGCCCGAACCCACCACATCAACACCAGCACCGCGACAGTAGCCCGCCGAGGTGAGCGAGCACGCGCCGGCCACACTGATGGCCCCCGCAAACGCTCCTCCTTCGCGCACCATCCCGCAACGCCGTCGCAAAAGAAAACGCCGGACGAGTAAATCAACCGACTCGACCCCCGCTACCCCACTGACCAAAGAATAGCAAAACCGAGATCCGCCGCCATCCAAAAATGAAGCTCAAGACGACGCCATACAGAAGCTACTCCAGTTTGCCGACCTGTTTACGGATTTTATCAAAAAATTCGGGCAGGTCGGCACACCGAAGAACGAAACCACCCCAGCTCAAGATCCTACCCCCTCGCGCTAAGTCCGTCGCCCGCTCGCTAGTCGCTCACTGGGCCTCCCACACGGGTCTCACCCGGTAGGCTTGACTGCGCCGAGGGCGACGCGTGAAGACGCGGAGGGAGGTAGACCCCCATGGACCGTCCTGTACGTATACAGGACGCGAACCCGAAACCTCTGAGGTGGGCACTCAGCCCAGAGCAGACTCCCCGCGAGATGAAGTCCCCGCGACGCGCGAGATGAAGAAGACGCGTTCTTTTCGAATACACTTAATTATTTTGAATTTGAACGGTCGTTTATATTTATCGTCCTTGCACCTTTCAAAGATTTTTTGGGATTTGTACAAAGGGCATAGCGGATTTTCTGCTCCAATTGAAGCACCCGTCTGGGGAAGTAACCTTCACCTTACAGAAGATCACAGTAAAATAACATTAGCTTTTAGTGATGTTGTGTTTCTGTCAATAAGTAAGATTCCAGAGTCCTTTTAAATATACCAACCATCCTGTTATTATAGATTGTAGAAAATTGTTCTGGCAATGTCATTTAAAAGATTTCTATGTAGTTTTTGCCTGGATATCTAGTCATATAGGTATTTTTGGCAATGAAATTGCTGATAAACTTGCCAATAATGCTATGGATTGTGGATATATTATTCCATACTAAACTTTATTAATGATCTTTTAGGTTTTCCTATTTCGGATCTACGTGAAGCGTGGTGGCTACGTGGGACTTGGGAGCAAATATGGTCTGTTTCTAGTAATTACTCACAAATTCAAAGTGCCACCCCTAAAAAGCCTTGGTTTTATAATTTTAGATTTCGCAAGAAAACGACTGCCATCATAACTCGGATGAGACTGGGTCATGTTTGCACTCCTTCTTATCTCGCCAGATTAGGAATAGTTAATAGCAGTAGTGTGATAGCTTTAGTAACGAATGCGTCTTTATACTGTGGTGGCTGCTTACCACCAGGGGGCCAATCGCCTAACGGAAATGCTTTGGAAAACGCTAACGCTAACGATTTTATTTTGTTATTTCTAGTCGCCTGAAGTATTCAAATGCCTCGCGCTCTTTCTTTTTCTTTTGCATTGGTAATAACAATATTAAAAAAAATGAGCGTGAGGTATTCGAAAGCCTCAGGCGGCTAGAAATAACAATATAAAATCGTAAGCGTTAGCGTTTCCCAAAGCATTTCCGTTAGGCGATTGGCCCCCAGGCGAGTCATAACCTTGTTTGTCGCTCTTTTAACCTAAAAAAGGAAGAAATGTGATCTTTTTCTAAGGTTGTTGAGTCGTATTGGTTAGGAAACATTACTGGTGACACATTATTCTACAGTTTTGTTGTACGTGGTAATATATTTTTACAAAATCGGCCCAAGTAAGGCTCGGCGGGCGTGAGGTACTCTTCCAAGGGGTTAGGAAGGGGGTTCACTTATCGTGACTCGTGACATGACTACTTTTGAATTGTATACTTTTGACTTGAATAAGTACTTTTTCGTGCGTGCAACCGGCGTTCATCGATTCAAAAGATGTTATGACGTCAAAAAATGAAACTTTATTTTTTTAAGTACAATGTTTCGCTCTAATTAGAGCAAAAAATTTTTTATGTAGCTACTTATTTTACTTGAAAATACTGCTATCTGTTAGAGTGGCAGTTATTTAACTGTTTGAATGTAGATATGTTCACCCTGTTTACGCAACTTTCCGATAGGTTTATTAAATAAAGATGTATACATCTTCATCATCTATCATCTTCTATAGAAGATAACCTGCAAGTTAAAATAATTACTTACACAAGATTTTAGCATTCCACAATGGTATAAAATTCCAAGTAAAGTAGGCAAATAAACGGTAAAATGAAAAAGAAAGTACATACCCTCAATCCATAAAAACTAAATGTTAAAAAATAATTCCATCATCAGGGGTTCCATTCCCGTCTTACTCAACCTAAAAAAATATTAAGTATCATTTATCTTTTTCTATATATTGTGATATCTTTGCTATACATATTATACTTTAGAAACAACGTCTTTTCAATTATTAATTTCATTAGGTATATAAATGTATATTTTAATGTATAACTAGCGGAGTCTTTATATTAATTTCATTGGGTATATAAAAGTATAACGCGAGGATTCTTTATATTAATTTCCTTATTGAAGTTTTGTTAGATCTACTTCAAATTAATAATGAAAAAAAGATAAATAAATAGCGCTGTATATCCGTTTACACTATAAGTTCTAGCAGTATACCTTTTTCTATCGCCCTTTTTAGGGTTCCGTATCCAAATGGCAAAAAACGGAACCCTTATAGATTCGTCATGTCCGTCCGTCTGTCCGTCTGTATGTCACAGCCACTTTTTTCCGAAAACTATAAGATCTACACTATTAAAACTTGATAGGAAGATGTATTCTGTGAACCGCATTAAGATTTTCACAAAAAAACAAGAAATTTTGGGGTTCCCTATACTTAGAATTGAAACTTATTTTTTTTATCAAACTCATACGTGTACTCATCAATTGATAGGTCTTCAAAAATTATATTGAGGTTTTTAATATCATATGAATAAATAAAATAAATAAATATATGATGTACATTACTTTGCAAACTTCCACCGACAATTGGTTTGAATTTTTTTTAATGTCATAAATCACAAATCAATTAAAAAAAATGCAATATTATTAAAACACCGATCAAAGTTACAACGAACTACAAGAACTTATATTATGTTACTTGCTGCTACGGAACCCTTCATGGGCGAGTCCGACTCGCACTTGGCCGCTTTTTTAAGCCTCTTTAGTATACCTTAGTTTATCGCCCAAAGGGTAACAATGAAACCTAATTGCTGTCACTTTGTCGTCTGTCTGTTCGTCTGTACGTATTTCATGGGTCTCTAGATCGTAAACAGAATGAGTTATACATAGAACTGAAATTTTGGTATTTTACGTAGAATGCTAGCTCAAAGCCGAATGCCTGGTCTGATGTCAAATGTTGTGCTTGTCTAACTTCTAAACGTAGAAAAAGTATTAAAGAGATCTTCGCGAAGACTAAAGTCGTCTTTCACGTGTGTGTGATATGATGAGATCACATACGTCTATCTCGTATACGTTCGATGAACTCGAAGGCTGCGCAGACGCCCCGGCCGCACCCTACCTTGCCTATCCGATCCGATCCACTGCCCGCCAGTCTCCAATCGGAAGTCGAGTTATGCGCACGTTGATTCTCAAATCAAATCGTGTAGAAATTCTCACGAACTATCAATAAGCTCTCTCTCTGTCTCGTGGATATCAAGTACCCAACAGTGTTGTGATTTTGTGTGTCGTGTTTTCTATAATTTTATGGTCAAGTTGTTAAGTGTTCATGGTAAATTTAAGTACCGAGGACGTCCGACCGCCGCCACAGCTTATTGTAAGTTTCGCTGGAGCTTTAGTAGTCTAAGTATTGCGGTTGCATTCATAACAAGTGGGTTCCATTTTGCGTACCATTCCATTAAAGTTAAATATTTTCTTAAACTTTTATTACAGAAGTTAAAAGATTTTTGTTCGGCGTCTTAAAACTTTCTAAATGTAAATTAATACTCTTATACTGTTGTGTATCAAATAGAGATCACGCCTCAATACATGTAAATAATTAGATCGTGAAAGATTTCTTTACTTATCTGGATTGCTTTGTAAGTTTGCAGCGTCTTTTGATCATTTTGCTAAATCAAAAAGAGAGGCCGATTCGATCTTTTCAGATACTATAAAACTTCTTTTAAACAATGTTGTTTTTTTTAATGTTCGTAGAGAATTTCGAAATATATTGTGATAAAAAAAAACTGGACTGAAAAATACTTTCTTCTCAGGAAACCTAGAAATGTTGCCAATACGATTTAGTTTCTCTGTCTTTCTGCTAAAATATTACGTCTTGGCATTTTAGGTAAATAGTGTTGAGCTTTTGACGAATTGTACACACCTATTTTTGTAATTTTAAAACAAAGTTTATTAAATCCACCACCTTCTTTATGAAACTTTCAACCTGACGGCTTTAACATGATCTCTATTATTTTATAATGGTAGCCAGGTCCGTGATGGTAGCTGCCAAGTTTACAGACCATTTACATTAAAGCATTTGTGTAGGCAAATAAAATGAAATTCTATTCAGTTCATCAGTTAAATTATATTATCAAAAAATAATGGACACTTTTTTTTCTTTTATTAATAAACCAAAAAATTACAAAGATAAAGCGTGACAAAGTTTGAGAGAGGGGGCTCATGACGTCACTTCTATGTACAAAATTTTACCAAGAAATGATGTGATGCGACATTTCAAATCAATATACATATCTTTGTAATGTTTTCATTTAATGCGATAAAAGGAAAATACGTGTCCAATACTTTTTGATAATGTACTACTTGATAGACGAAGAAAATAGAATTACTATTGCTCTGTTTATACATTAAAATAGTACCTACATTGATTAGCTAGATATAATACATGATTTATTGTGATTACCTATATATCTTTATTCTAAATGTTGTAACGGAAGGTGACTTCTATAGTATTTCTAAAGTCATTTTTCAACTTGACGACTCTGAAATAGTAATAACTTTGCTGAGTTTCTTGCCGGTTCGTCTCAGTACAAGGTCTCCCGCCGTAGTTTTGCGAACCGATGGCGTAGCTTCTTGACCTTTGAACAGCCTAGACTGAATAAATGATTTTTGAGTTTTAGTTTGATTATGTGTCAATTCTTTTTTTTCTTTTAAAAGAGGTTCGGCTCAGTGGATTTTTAGCTCTAATAGGCGCTCGCCAGAGCCGCGGTCCGGGCCGCTTACGGATTGGTTGGTGTGACCCATAGATATTTTTGTTATCTCTGTTGTGGGACCCCCTGGGCTACAGCCCCGCCTTCCCTGCCCTGAAATCCAGCCCCGCATACAAATAAACTTGCGCAGTAGACGTTTTTGTATGTAAAATTGCTACTGCGAAGGCTTCCTCGTCACTCACACTTCATTTAGTTAACACCGGACTGTATAGGGTAGGGGAAAATCGGGAGACTTGCCCAGGGGGGAGAGTTGAACCATCTTTCAAAATTGTATTTAAATTCAGCGCAAACGAAATGTTAATTCGTTCATTGTTCACATGCGTAACTAATTTGTTCTGATCTGGGCGTCATGCATGTGACCGATGGACGAATTGACGTTTTGTTTATGCTAAATTTAAATAGAATTTTGAAAGATGGTTCTACTCTCCCCCCTGAGCAAGTCTCCCGGTCTCCCCCTAATACCCCCAAAAAATATTATATCAGTTAAAATATAAACAATGTGAAACATATATTATTTATTACATACGGTATTGGAACTTTCATTGTTCATATAATATATGAGATCTTCATAGGTATTGATTATGATACAGATATTGATTCCACCTGATGGAACGCATTTTGAATATAAACTTATTAAAGCATTTGGGTATTCACTGGCAAAGCTCTGGTTGTTTTTAGATGTTTTTGTTCGAAGCCAGCGCGATGCATGGAATTAATAATGGCGGTTAGGATCGTCTACCTGATGCTAATAACTCTTGGTCACTTAAGATACCTATCTAATAATGGAAGCCACTTCATTAATAATACAAATATAAAACAAAGGTGTTTTTGAACAACTATTAACTGATTTTTTTTTTATTTTTTTAAGCATTTAACTGCTAGGTGTTGAAATCTAACGCAAGTATTTATTGTTAAAAATATTGTTTAAACTGAATTAAACTTGAAAAAAAACAGAGTTACGATCAAACAAATAATTCAAAACACTCGAAGTTGTGGAATCCGCAAGAGAGCACCGCCAATTTGAAAGAAGTAGAAGATGAAGCATGGAAACACTTGAAATAGAAATAAGAATGAAGGATAAACTTTTTTCCCTACCTAATTACAGCATAAAATAGGTATTATACCAGTACCACATTTTGTTTAAATCAATTTCCAAAGCCTTCTATAATGCGAAAAACTTAGGTAAACTGCAATGTCTTTTGTTAAAACCACACAACCACAAATAAAAAACAAATTAACTTTATAAAGGAAGGCTCAACTCTTAACTCGAAAAGCACACAATGAAATTGAAAAAAAAATACGATGAACTAACCAAAAATGGCTATCTCGTTAATTTATATGCGGTAGAAGTAGGAGCGAGAGGTATACCAGCTAAATCTCTCTGTAAGATTCTAAAAGACCTCGGCTTGACGAAAACTGCACTGCTTCAATTTTGGAACAAGGAACTAAGGCTGCACTAAGATGCTCCTATCAAATTTGGCTAGGAAGGGCGGGCAATTCGAGCATTGAAGGTGAGCATTGATGCGCATCCAAAAGGGGCCTCCTTAAACCTACACCTGGGACGGCAAGTCCCGGGAACTGCTCAGAGCTTCTCTCTCTCCCGCACGATGGACCCGTCACGCACACGGTGAATCCATGGATTGCTAAGAAGTTCGTCTCTCTTTTATGCCAGTACCACATTTTGTTTGAATAAATTTCCATATTCTTCTATATGTGAAAAACATTAACCTACTGGCTTAATCGCTACAAACGAACTTAGATAAAATGCAATGTCGTTTGTTTTGTTTGTTAATAACAAAGTACTGTAACCTACTTATTAGCAACGAACATCGATAAACTGGTGATGTTTATTAGCAAGTATATAGAATGCAATTTTCAACTATGGCATTACAAAAATAAACGCACATAGTCAGGTGCATCAGAATACTTGGCGATTGGCAATTATAGATGGGAAACTGAGATATATAATATTCGACAGGTTTTTAGAAAGTCGCACTCTAGGTGTACCTAGAGTGCGACCGGTTGAGTGATAGTTACCATCTTTGTATCAGGTTACGATCTTTTCACACCAATACATTCTCGGATAGGTGTAGATATTTATTTCGCATTGGTTAGTTTCTATTGCAAACTTTATTTTTCGTAATAGGGATAATGACTAAGTAACTTTTGTATCCTTCGTCTATCAAGTAGATTACCAAAAAGTATTAGACACCTAGTACTTCTCCTTTATTCACATAATGTATGATGAATGATTAATAAACAAGGAATAAGCTTAGACAAGTTACGCCATGTTTTCTGGTGATCATGTCACTCAAATGGCATTTGTCATTCAATAGACAAAGACAAAACATGGAGTAACTAATCCAAGCGTAGTATTCGTTTATTAATAAGGGAGTAATTTTGATTTGAAATATCGCATAACGTCAAGTCTTGTTACAATTTTTACCTAGAAGTGACGTCATGAGCCCCTTCTAAACTGACGCGCTTTTTTGTAATTTTTTGGTTGATTGACGAAAGATAGGCATAAGTGTCCATTATTTTTTAATAATCCAACTGACGGACTTAATAAAATTTCATTTTATTTACCCCGTCATATAATATTAGGGATGCTATCTTTACCTACTTAACATGTTGTATTTAAATACAGGTACAATGGTTTTACACAGTAAAGAGGTTTTAGTTGCATAGAATCTCCATAAATGTAGAGATTTCGTGCTCGTTACTTTTGTATTGGCCTGAACTAAACCGAAACCAACTACAGCTTTAATACAGTTTTTATTCACGGACAGAACTGAGCGGACAATCTTATTAATACTATGGTCATTTCCATTCAGAGATTACTTCCCATAAATAAAGAAATTTCCAAACTTTAATTCTATAGGATAGGTAATATTATTATGACGAGATGTAAGCGTTATGCAGTATTGCCAGATTTTAAATCGACGTTTCCGTAATTTTCATTGCCAAATTCCGTATTTAATCCGTATGGCAATATTTAAATAAAATCCCTATGAAAATCGTATAAACATTTGAACGACCTTTGATTGATATCATTAATTTATAAAAATAAGAAAAATCTTAAAACATACGTTATTGTGTAATCTATCTTTAGTGATGTTTATTATATCAATTTTTTTTACTGAAATTATAAAATAAAGACGATATTCACCCAATTTATTTGTATATAAATATTTAGTCATTTTTAATCAATTCTTAGGCTGTAACATCGCTGGCGTGCTAATAACAACTTCGTGAATGATATTATGTATATACAAAATAAAGTCAATCTTTAAATTCATAACTAAGCAAAGTAGTAAATATCACTAACCTTGTTTCAAACTTTTCCTTTCTCCCATTGTCCAATCAAAATATTTCGAGCGGACTCCCTAGGGCCATATTCTGTGCTTTACCCACTGGTAATTAAAAAAACAATATTTTAAAATTTTCATCGAATTTTTTCGCTGTCAAGAAATTCGCTGAAAAATACAAATAACTGGTATTGAAACTGGATCAAATAAAGTGTATCGTTTCGTTTTATTCAAATCATTTTACGGTTGTCACACAAAATTACAGCAAATTTATTTCTCAATATCCACTATGAACAAAT